TTTGTCCCCTGGCTCAATAATTGTTTTTTCTTTTCAACAAAAATTCCAATATACGGGTAGGCATTGATGTTTTATAACATAGCTACTTTATATTGTGCTAGAATTATATAGTAATGGATAATAATGTCATTTGATTAACCAGTGTTGAACCTTTCAAAAGGGGTGTGATAATGTATACAATATAACAGTGTATTGTGATGAGATATAAAATAGTTACTACAGTTACAGTTTATATATATATATATATATATATATATAATTATTTTCAAATCTGGAAGGCCCAATGAAATGTTCAACAATATATTTTTTAAAAACTTTGTAACTGTAACATCATGGGACTTGATCAGCATGGTGTAATTCCCCTGCAGTGGGCAGCCCCAGGAGTTCACGTATTTCTGCTAGCTGCATGGCGTTGTGTAATTTCCCTGCAGTGGGCAGCCCCAGGAATTCGGGTTGCTCTGCTGCCGGCGGTGCACAGCATAGCTCTCCGGCTGTGGGGGCGGGGTAACATGTGCAGGTGGCGATGTGGCACATGGCCCAGCTTGCTGCAGCAGCTCTCTTTGCGTTAGAAGGCGGTCGATCTGAGCAAGTTGTTCGTCTATCTTTTTACTGTCTTCCCAGTACGACCAACTCCACTCCTCCCATTTGGCACAAAAGTCGGCGCCCAAGCTGATCTGCTGCTTCCGCATGGTGGGCGCGGTATTCTGTAACATCACAGGACTTGAGCGGAAGCAGGTGCAAATCAAAGTCTTTTTTATACACGTAAATCAATAAACAAGGAAAACGCGTCTCAACAGGAAGACGAGAAACTGGATGCGAGGCAGGAAACTGAACAGGACATGAAAACCAGACCGCTTAGCACGCGTGATATCTTCACCATTCAAACACTCAATCAACATAAATACTACACGAAGAGAAGAGAAGAGAAGAGAAGAGAAGAGAAGAGAAGAGAAGAGAAGAGAAGAGAAGAGAAGAGAGGAAACGGTTTTGAAAAGAGTGCGGGTGTTGGGAGAACTACCAATCTTCTCTGGGTAGTCTGTGGCTTTAACAATGGAGATGCTATTGGAAAAACAGGAGAGAAGTGTCTGGTAATTTGTTAGGTCAATTGGGTTGTTTGATTTGCGCCATTTCCTTTCAGATGCTCTTAGTTTGGCCTGGTTGTTACGCAGAGCTTCTGAGAGCCAAGGACTAGAGGATGATGTGCGAGCAGGTCTGGAGGTTCGGGGGCATATGCTGTCCAGATAAGATGTGCTAAGATACTGAAGGCTAAGTGCTGTAAAATGTTTATTTAGTTGTAATGTACCAGACTCTGCAGGAGAGTTAGGATCATGTGCAGAGAGACTTGATTATGCAATCCAAGCAAACAAAGTTGAAACACTGTCTAATCAACCAGGCAGGCAAAGGTCAAAGCAGGATCAGGCATGAAATAACAAAATCAAATGATAATCCAAAGAATTGTCTGATTAACACGGCAATGATCAAAACATGAACAGGGATTAAATCACAAAACCAAGAATAAATTAAGTTATTCTGTATAATGATGAAGAATAAAATTAAGTTTATCCATTCATTATGTGAAAACGTGGCCCAAGGCAGGAATACACCCTGGATGGGATGCCAGTCAATCGCAGAGCATGCACACATTTTCACATTCATTTAAAGAAAGGGAAACTTTAGAGTAGCCAATCTACATACTGACATGTTTTGGGAGGTGTTATGAAACTGGAGAATCTGGAGGAAACCCATGCAGACACGGTAAGAACAAATTAAATTCCCGATTAACAGAACCCTGACTCAGGTTCCAACCAGAGACCCTAGGATTTGTTTGTCTAAGGATCTTACCAATTAATGACACAGTAAACATAATTCAACTTGGCATTGCAATGGCATTTACAATTATAGAACCAGATAATTTAACAGTGTAGGTGTGGTTTGTTTAAGAGTGCATGTGTGTTTCTTTCTACTCCAGAGCAGGTTTTGTTCCAGGGTTAGTTTGTTTCAGAGAGCTGACTGAGTATGGTGTGCCCTTTTGAAAAAGATCCAGTGGATGTAGAAGCACTGGTTATAAAAGGTCTTTTTTCATGTATATTTCATGTGTTTTCATATCCAGAAGAATATTTGTGTGAGTGTTATCATTTTTCATGTGAATCATTAATATATTTAAAGAACCTTTGAAACCCTACAGAGTTTTCCACAGAGTGGTGGGTTCATCTGTTCTATGATATTCTATGAGACCTTTTTATTTGCGTATAGCACATACTTCATCTATCCATACATATGTTCACAACCATAATAACCATAATAATTTTATCTTTCAATTTCAGGTTTCTCAAATGTCCCACATTCCTATTAAACACCTTATGTCAATGAAGGAGACTATGTTAATAGGAAGTCGTTCCATAGCATCAATGTGCAGGTAACAGTATAATGGTAAAACAGTATATAATGTTGGGTGCTAAATCTAATACTTAAGCAATTAAATGACACTCTCCACTGGTCTCCACTAACTAGGTAATATGTGATGCATCCCACCTCATCACCAACTCTGAGGCAAAATGGCCAGGGTCTGTACATGATGCCTGAAGATTTTGGGAGTCATCATTGTGCCATAAATTTTAACAGGGTATGTATTGCCTTGCATAATGCATTTTAAAAAAAATCCTAGGTGATAACCAACATTACAGGAAACTTCAATGGTTACTTGCTGGGGGCCAGCGTACCCCTGTCTGTGCTATATAATGACCCCTACTCTGAACCTGAGCCTGGTCATCAGGCACGATGTAACCTGGCCCATAGTGGAACACGGGCCAAGGTGGAGATGACTATTGGAATCCTGATTAAACACGTTATTTCACATTCTGCCTAATGATGTCCTTCACACATTGTGTAAATATTTAAACCATTTTTGTTTGTACCTACCCACAATTTTTCCAACAAATTTAATTGCTTTTATTTGCCAATGTTAAACAATCTATTAACCTAATTTTAACCACTGCAACTCAGACCAGGTAGTTACTAAGGACTGACTGAATGAAGGATTGCTGTAAATCAGTAGTGTCAAACTCATTTTAATTCAGGGGCCACATACAGCCTAATTAGATGTCAAGTGGGCCGGGCCAGTAAAATCATAGTATAATCACCTATAAATAATAAGAAGTCCATGTTTTTACCTTTGTTTTCATGAAAATACATTTATATTTAATGAAATATCCTTTTATAAAATATATCATGAACAACCTCAGATTTCTTAAGACAAATGTGCAATTTGCTTCTGATTATCATTCACATATATGTGCATTACAACTGCTCACAGTGTTTGTACAATGCAAAAAAAAAACTTCACAGGTATTTGGAACTGAAAAACATAGTATTTCACTTTAAAATTTATGGCATTGCATGAACAATAGGATTCCACCAAACCAAACTCTTTTGTACTGAAGCTGTTGACTAACATTAAATTGCTTTTTTTTATTATTATTTTTTAACTATTACCCATTCATCTCTGTGAATAAATAGGAAGCGGTCCATTTTTCATGGAAAACTCTACACTCTGTATCTACTTGTCTGCTTTTTGGCAGACATTTTGGCTAATGAGGGTGTGGGGATGAGTAGAAAATAGAGTAGACGTCGCATTGCTGCCATCTGCTGTTCAGTCCCAGAGATGTGCCGCGTCTTTTACCCCCCAGCGGATAATTTAGGAATAGCATTTTATTCAAAATTACAAGTTCGTGTCTTTTATGCATTTTTTTTTTCACTTTCAAAATTCGTCCTGCGGGCCGGATTGAACCCTCTAGCGGGCTGTACGTTTGACACCCATGCTGTAAATGAACGTTAATAAATGTGTTTTTTAACTGTCTTGCAAGTGCCATATCTGACCACTCACACATACAAGTAAACATTTCCAGCTTGCATGACATTTTTATTGAGTCCCGCATGCTCCCAGTCCCAGTGCACACCTTTATTCTCAATCAAACACCATGTGAACCTTTCTGGCAAGCTTTATTACAAATAAAATGGCTGTGTTCAATGGACAACGATGTTGCGCTTGCTGCTAAATAATTCAGGGAACTGAATATAACCTTGCATGTTTTGTCAATGCTTTCAACAGAGTTTCCAATTTATTTGATATTAGTTGTTATTGATATGAACAGTTTATTTGTTTAAGATTTTAATTCTTTAAGAATAAATTAATTAATTAAGCTAATTTACTTGTTTAGAGTTACTTCTTTGGATAGTAGATTGTTTGTGTTCATCCATCCATTTTCTGTACTACTTATCCAACTCAGGCTCACGTGGAGTCTGGAGAATATCCCAGGGGATAGGCAATAGACCCTTTTCACAGTGACGTCAGAAAGCTTCTGCCTTTCTGCAAAGCATTGTATACATACTTCCGTTTTACCATACGTTGTCCATAGTACCATGAGTGGCACAACTAACATTATGGCCTTAGTGCTTTTAAAGCAAAATAATAATAATGAAAGACACTCACTTTTTGTTGCAATTGAGCAAAATCCTGGTGTAGTTCCTATCTCAGCATCACCATCAGGGTGTCATTCACAATATGTTCAGTGGTGCCCGTAGCCGTACCGCAGATCTTCAGCCATGGCCTCTGTATTTCCTGGTTGCAGTGTCGGGCTTTGTGCTGCTCGTTCCCGGCCACCGAAGACAGATAGGAGCTACACTGTGATTCTGCTTGATTGCAACAAAAAGTGAGTGTTTCATTATTATTCATTTAATTAAAACATTTATTTTAAAGATCCTAAGCTAAGCTAATACATTACTGACTTTTATCTAACAATACACAAACTCCGTAGTTCCACTATGCTGGCGGATGTAACTATACGCTGGTTTGAGTCAGAATGTAAGTTGTGTCACAAGGGTCTATCACAGGGCACAATAGCACTCGTCACACACTACAGACAGGTTGGAAATGCCAATGAGCCTACAATGCATGATGGGGAAAGAAACTGGTGTACCTGAAGGAAACCCCAAGGGATGGTGAGAACATGTGGGAATTGAACCCTCAATGCAGAGAGGTGAGGCAAACATGCTAACCACTACACCACCATTCCTCCTAGTCCTTGTTCAGAGGTTTTTAATGTATTGTTTATAAAACTGTTTAGTAAACTTCATCCAAGATAATAAAGTATTAATTCTGTTTTCACATTATTGTATATAAAATAATGTGATTATTATCGTTGGAGGGTCCTGAGAAATGTTCAGAAACGGCCCTGAATGAATGAACGGATGAATGATGAACTCGTTTGTGTGCTTCGACTGCCACCTATCGGTCATACAATGTAACGGCATGTCGTTGTCATGTTATTACACAAACGATGAATCAAACATGTCTCATCACTACAATTAAACAATGTTCTCTTCACTGTGTGGAAGTTTGGAATTATGGAATAGCGAACATCCTGAGCATCGCATGGCGTCTTAAATGACTAGAATGGAATCCGTGACGTGGTCACTATGACAACATTTGTGTCACCTTTTAGAGTAGTTGTTCAGTAGAATATTAATCATTCTTTACAACTGCTTCGTTAGTGCAGAGCGACAGTGAATGATTCTCCGTTTGAACTATTCGGAAGAAAACTTTATTCTGTTATAAGGTGAGTGTTAAATAGAAGTATATTTTCGAGTTTTGAAAAAGATTTTGATTCCTAAACACGGGATATTTTCAGTGCTGTATTTACCTGGGTCAATACTTCTCTGACATTGCGCGTGCTACTTTGACTTTAAATGTTATCAGTCACAAGTCACTACAGTTACTATCCATCCATCCATCTTCTACCGCTTACTCCTTCTTCAGGGTCGCGGGGGAACCTGGAGCCTATCCCAGTGAGCATCGGGCACAAGGCAGGGTACACCCTGGACAGGGTGCCAGTCCATCACAGTTACTACTTACTCCTTATAACTGAAAACTGCTGGAAGCCTGTTAATGACCACGTCCCAATCTGCAATACTACGCTCTAAAATGAACAGTATACCAGAAACGGTATGTAGTGTACATATTCTAGTGCGGTTGTACATAGTTTGAAACGCAGCCGTCCTCTTTCCTTATCCTTTTCCCAACTGTAGTCCAGACGTATATAAATGCTACTATATGATTGGCTAATATCGTCCTGTCCCTGCGCTTGGATTGGCTAATACTAAATTCGTATAGCAGGGGCTACCCAATTGTAATTCAGGAGGCGGGGCTTGTCGGAATACGGGTGGGCCTGGAGAACGGATGATTTGTTTTTGTTTGTTTGCTGTATGACTCACTCGGGCAGTTGTTAGGGACGGCGGCGCTTCCTGTTGTTACACTGAGATTTACTGAGATGGGATTAGAGTAACGTTACACCCAGAGATTGGACTGGCTACGATGCACGACAGGTAAATAATCTGAAGTTAACGTCCCACACCACAGGGAGTGTACCTACCGTTAGCGGGTGTATGAATAAATCGCAGAATTTGATTTAACATCACTAACACAGCACTGATGTAATCTATCAGATATTATACAGACCGGAACTGGGTTACATCTAGCTTAATATATTTTGCCACAATACTGTTATTTGTTATTTTAGATGGCTTTAGCTTGAGCTAAAACACTGCTGGACGCTATCATTGCTTTGTCCGTATAAAGGTATACAATATAAACCTTCACAATGAAACACATGGCAGATATTACACTATCAGTATATTTAATATGGTTAGTGATACTGCTGTGATTATGTGGTTAATGTGGTTAGTGATGCTGTGATAATGTGGTTAGTGATACTGGTGATAATGTGGTTAGTAATGCTGTGATAATGTGGTTAGTGATACTGCTGTGATTATGTGGTTAATGTGGTTAGTGATACTGCTGTGATTATGTGGTTAGTGATGCTGGTGATAATGTGGTTAGTGATACTGCTGTGATAATGTGGTTAGTGATGCTAGTGATAATGTGGTTAGTGATACTGCTGTAATGTGGTTAGTGATGCTAGTGATAATGTGGTTAGTGATGCTGCTGTGATAACGTGATTAGTGATGCTGGTGATAATGTGATTAGTGATGCTGGTGATAATGTGGTTAGTGATACTGCTGTGATTATGTGGTTAGTGATGCTGGTGATAATGTGGTTAGTGATGATGGTTATAATGTGGTTAGTGATGATGGTTATAATGTGGTTAGTGATGCTAGTGATAATGTTGTTAGTGATGCTGGTGATAATGTGGTTAGTGATGCTGTGATAATGTGGTTAGTGATGCTGGTGATAATGTGGTTAGTGATACTGCTGTGATAATGTGGTTAGTGATACTGCTGTGATAATGTCATTAGTGATGCTGGTTATAATGTTGTTAGTGATGCTAATTATAATGTGGTTAGTGATGCTGTGATAATGTGGTTAGTGATGCTGGTTGTGGTAGCGGTTGTGTGCCGCTCTGATGTCACAGTGGGACATTGCAAGGTTGCCTTAGCTCTATTTGGATTGGATTAGTTTATCAGGGTCACGTGTTGATATGATCATGCACCAATCACAAGTGGTGATGGGAAGTTCGGATAATTTACCTGACTCGGATCTTTGAATTTCATTCAGCAAAATGAGCGGATCTTTTTTCAGAGTCATTTCGTTTATTTCCGCAGAATATAATTAAAATGTTACATGTTAAATTCCCCAACACATCTAGTACTTAGACAAACGTTGATCACATTTGGAATAAAAAATAAACTATAGGCTAATGCAGCCAAGGACAATTTTTGTGACATCTGTTCCCTGGAAACATAAATGGTTAGTTCACCTCTCGAGTCTTCGGGTTCGAGTCATTCGTTCATCCTGTAACCGCCCCATAGGCTGAATGCAGTGGGGCTGTGACGTGATTAACAAACGACTCGAACCCGAAGACTTGAGAGGTGAGCTAATCATTTCTGTTTCCTGTACAGAACCCATGGGTTCTGTACAGCACATGCGTGGTCAAAAATGAACGAATCACTCTCTGAGACATTGAGTGTTGTTATTGAGTCGTATTAAAGATTCTTTCAAAATGAACGTACATTCGTGAACGGCACTTCACTACTTATTTCAGTTTAAGCCAACGTTCCAGAAAATACAACAGTTTGAAAATACAATGAAACAATAATCAGAAAGTGAAAAAAAAAAAAAAGCTCTAAAGGTAATATTTAATTATAATAGGTGCACTGTTATGTTTTTTCTAATATTACCTTTCATGTAGTGTGTTATATAGCTGTTGCACGACAAACGGAGTTACTGACTAATGTTGCAATTTAAATTATGAGCACATTTAAAGGGTTTTTTGACCTTGGATGCATGTAAATGCATGTTAAGAGGTATGAGACTTCTAAATCAAAATTAGTCATGTTTGAAAACCATAATATGTGCACTTGAATATCTGGGGGAGGGTTACTGATGAATGCACTATGAGATTAAATACAGCAAGTAACAACAGTTGGACCTTTTAAATTTTTTCAACGTGAGGCAACAGCTGCCTCACAGACATGTGTATTCAGACGGGACTAAAATGATCAGACAACCGCTGAGTATGGCAAATAATAATAAGTAATTCACAATGTAATTTTCTCAGAGGACGAGAAAAACACCAACATGACCGATCTGGTTGGAAATCAGATCACACTGAAGCATCTGTAAAAGAGGAAATTTCCCCAGAACCCCATATAAATGTAATCCTGTCCATATAGGGCTGATGGCGCTTAACAGCAGAAAACATTTCAACAGACATCTGAGACATGAGGGATAAGAGCTTCTTTTCTCACTTGCAACTCAGTATGGTATTAATGAGGAATTCAATGTAGCAGCTGAGGCAATAATAAAAGTTGACAAGTATGACAAGGTTGTTACAGCAGAGTACAGGTGAGAGGGAGAGATATCTACGAGATGACGAGCGTGATGCTGTTGATGGTGGTGTTAGCTTGAAAGTTGAAGCTTTGGAACCTGCTGTGTTTAAGAAGAGTGTACGAGTGAAAAGATGAGAAAGCAGGACAGACTAACGTAATAAAGCGCTGCTGCATCACTCTCTTTAAGTAGGGATGATGTAAGGGTTAAATCCCACTGGCATTGGTATTATCAGGCAGTCAAGTGGCATTGTGGATTTATCACAATCACATAAAGGTTAATAGAAAAAGTTAAGGCAGGATTGTTCCATTAATGTTAGGAATGTAAAATGAACATGTTCTCTGACTGTGTAAGATGATCCCAGTAAAAGAGAGGGTGGTCAGTAAAAACGTCTGCATGTACACAAAGGTATTCGGGGTGTGTAGATAAACTGTTGTGTATCAGAGCAATTCAGTTGTGTGAGCACTGAGACCTAAAGCAAAGATAAAGCAAAATAAAAGAAAATCCTGTTCTTCACCCCATTAAAGTCTGCATCCATTTTCTTTAATCACTGGTGTGTCATCTAATCTTTTTATTTATATAATCACAAAATTTTGGGGATCATCTTAATTTCAGTCTAAAACTGGTTTCAACTTCATTAAAAAGTTACTGTGTACGTGTCCACTCCTCAGACTGTCCTCAGATTGTCTGTTGACCTTGTCAGTTTGTTACTTTGCAGGTGGAGGTGTGCACACGAACATCATGACTTCAAGGCGTGTCACTCAAACCACAGACCCTGGCTGCATTTGAGCGGCCATCGAACAGATGCCAGGAACAACTGCATGTCATGCTGAGAAAGAAAACAGCACTATGGACCAATACGCTGCCCTCCAGCAGCTTGGCGACGGTACCTTTGGCTCAGTCACACTGAGCCGCTGCCTGAAGTCTGGTGAGCTTGTCGCCATCAAGAAGTAAGTCGAGCTGTTCTAATGTTGTCTGTCTTTGTTGCTGAGTTGGTATGAGGATCAGGGCCATATTCACAAATAATCTTGTATAAAATGTAGTTTGCTGAAGAAACTCTCGGCTTCGGCTGTGAGATTCGCCTAGTGCAGAGCCGCAGACCGAGACTAGGAGAGCACAGGACCGCTGCAGACCGAGACTAGGCGGGCACAGGGCCGCCGTAGACAGAGAAAGGCTGAGTACAGTGACCTGGACCAAGTCTAGCTGGGTGCAGAGCTCCAGACCAAGTCA